ATGTAAGCTGGCAAACTCATCATCGTCAACAATTCAAGCAATGAAGCAAATGGCATCCAGATGGGAAAAATCAAGAATTGATATAAAAACCTGCTAACATGTCCGATGCCTTATCCAACATAATCATACACAAAACGCGGTATTTAAACACGTTAAAAACCTACTCGAAGGAAACAACATCTATATGTAAAGTAGGAAGATCTCTTATCCAAAAGACATTAACACAAGAAAATAAGTAGCTCATCTGGTTCATAAAATCCAATATAAAGTAAGAGTTCGTAAGTTACCCAACCAAAAAAAATAAAATAAGATGAAGTGTCAACATAAAAAGTAATTAAAGTATGGACAATATGTACAGAAGTTTAGTCATCCTCTTCGTCTACAATTTTGGCCCGACTTTTCTTTCGAGTTGGATTTTCTGATATCTGCAATGATTGAAAAAAAATATAAGGTATGGTAAAAAAGGCATCAATAAGGTGCCTTTAGGGAGCTTACATCACTCAGTGATCCAGAATCGCCTGAATAGATAGCAGAAAAATCTAAACAGAATAAACATGTTTTAAATTTAGAAAATTAAAGCATGTTATTAGACTTTAATACCAGGGACAGCCAGGCCCATGGTGAAATTAAGTAAAACTTCTATAAACCAGTTTAATAACTATGGCTAGGTGGTTTAAGAACTCGAGTGGTTTGGAGATGTAATGATGCATCCTTATATTATATCATAATTTACTATTACGTATCAAAATAGACAACTCACTTTCATTCCGATTACGTTTCAGGAGAGTTTTGGCTGATTTTTTGATAGCATTAAGTGAGATAGAGCGCGAGGGATCGTCGTCATCGTCGTCATCATCGTAGCCAACCATCCCGCCGCCAGAAGTACGTCCACCGAAAATGCTCCTCGAAATGACTTGCTTTTCTTGCATTCGTCGCTGTAGGCTTTCGCGGCGCAATGTCGCACGCAAGCGCTCTTCTTCTTTTTTAATAAGAATATTTCGATTCGATTCTGGATCAGCACCAGCAACAGAGAGTATCTTTACCTAAAAGATAAAATCGTTTATTGTGAATATTCAGAGTAATTGAAGGGATAAAAAGGGCAAATTCAAAGCGGAGAAAAATATGAGATTGCCTTGATCACAAAATAGCTCGAATTGACAAACTGGGTTTCGAAGAATCCCTTAATGGATTGGATTCCATTCGTGTTTTGGGGAATTACCGTTAAGCACGGTGTCCTGCTCTAACGATGTCTGTCACATGAGGAACTAAAGCTCAGCAAGGATCCATCAGGGTCGCCGGGCGATGCGCTAAAGTCACGGCTCCAAGACAATCTCCCTACAGCTTCTGGTGAGGCCAACTTACGAATTCATTCCAATCGCTTCCTCAAACTAAATGAAAGTACC